CCCGCGCCCGGGGGCGGCTGGCCCTGCCTGGCGTGAGGAGGCGAGCGCGACCGCAGCGTTCCCAGCTGGGCAGTGCCTGGTCCTGGCTGGCTGTGGGCCGGGACCCCGCTGTCCTCAGCGACTGGGGGCAAACATGTCTTGTAGGCCTGTGGAAGCCTGGGAAGCGTCTCTTGATTAGCTCCCCCGCTGCCGGTCGCCGCGCAGGGGCGGCCCTAGGGGGCGGCGGCCCAAAAAAACCCGTGGGCAACGTGTCTCCTTTGGTACTCTGCCCATCTCCTGCTCGCTTGGGGCTGGCAGCAAATAAAGCTGCGGGTAGCTGAGGTGCTCCTTGGGCTGGCCTGAACGTGACAGGGGCAGCTGCGGGGACTGGTGTTTGCTTGGCGCACGAGAAAGCCGACGGTGTCATCCAGCCAGCCGGGATCTGCGAGTCCCTTCGGCCCCTGGCTGTTCTGGGCTTGTGGGGCAGACCTTGCCTGGGAGCCATTACTCTGGCTCGAGGAGGCGAAGATCAGCTCGACAACGGCAGTGACATCTGAGTGGGAAGGGAAGGAAGCGGTGCTGTTAGTATCTGCAGCATTGCATTCGGTCAGAGGTAACTCGCTGGATTTTGAAGAGTTGTCTGTCTGTTTTTTTGTTCTAGAGTTTCCCTTCAGCACCTCTTTTTAGCCTGAAAACGCTCTCATTGCATAGTAAATTTATTCCACATGTTATTTGTTTTGTAGGCTATTACTAAAGTTGCCTTAAGGGTATTCAGAATGAATGCTGAGTGGCATTTAAAACATCAAGGATGTAATGTAACTTGTGAAAGTTGAGTATCGCTAACCAAAAAAAAGTGAAAATTCCTCACTAGTCAGCACTTGAGAGAGCATTATTCAAGCTGTTACGTATAGATGCTTTACCCTGTAGTAGTTGATTGAGTTGTTCTCTGTAAACATAAAGTACCCTAGAAAAGGTAAAACTCAGTGTTGTTAATTTGGCTGATAGAGTGCATATCTGAGAATTCTGGCAAATACTCAAAATGATAGGGAATGGAGGGTGCTCTCCTAAGTAGTTGGAAACGGGAGGTCATAACATTAGAGATACCATTTTGCTGTTTGCTTTCCGTGCCCGCTCTCCCCAGTAAACCAAGTTGTCCCAGATCACATTTTTCTCCTGCTTATGCTTGCTGATCTGTTCTTGCTACATGAAAATACTTTCCTTAGTTTTATTTCCAGTAGAAATGGTATCATGTATTCATTTTAGGTGATAGTTTATTTATGTTAGGAAAAGAACTGGCTACAGAAAAGGAATGGAAGAAAGTTAAGACAGTACTGGCTAGTGTGATGGACAGCTGAGTGAGTTAACATAGTTTCCACGATCCTTTTTCCACCTGTCAAGGGAACCTTCTACAGGAAGGTTATGATAAACAAGTAGGAATGTCAAAGTCTGCTTATGCAACAAGAACTTACTGTTGTTTGTTTGTTGGTTTTGTTGTTTATTTTTTTCAGTCACAAAGATCATAGAGTAAAGGTAGTCTCACCTCATTTATAAAGATACTTTAAAAATCAAACCCCAAATCTGGAATGATCTTCCAAAAGGTTTTACTTTCTTCCTCATGCTAATATTTGATTTATTGTCAGTGGTGTTTTATTCCTAGAATTTTACTTTCATGATAGTCAACTAAATATCATTAAGGTGGCTATATAGGCATTCTAAGCAATAAAAGCACTCAGCTCTAGTTAGCCTCTAAATGCTTTTCTTGTATCTTTAAAGTGAGGAGCTTAGAGTTATGATCAGCGTGTTTAAGCTTTGTGGCCTGAGCTTGGTTAATTTTCTTCTGTTTTTACTATTCAATTTTATAAATAATACCACTTTGTTAATCAAGCATTGCTAATCTCTGATGCATGCTTGCTTGTAAGTCATCACAGTTTGTGTTGTTGACTTCATAAAATCTTTCCCCCGAGCCCGTAGCCACACTCTAGGACTGTGTTTTTCTTCTGCCTTTTATACTTCTCTAGGTAGATGGAAAATTCTGCCAAGCTCTTAGCACTGTTACACACTTCATATAGGTGCAAATATTTATGCAAGGTACAGGGTGGGGAGGAAAAGCCAGGACGCTAGTTTACCTGGAACAAAGTTCATGGGGAGAATACTAAGTTAGTGTTACTGAATAGAGTATCCTGTGGTTTGTTAGAAACTTGATGCTGATGATACTTTATCTAGTAAAGACTTTGGGAAAGGGTCTTCATAGACGTGAAACAATTTGGCAGTATTACATGTCCATCTTGAGCTGATGTTCTGGTAAGTGCTCCTAAGGATTCTTTTTTTTGACCTCCTTACTGTGAAACGTGACTTCTTCAGTTCATCAAGGATAAGTATGAAGCTCTGAACAGAATACTTTGGAGTTCAGCTATAGAGTTATACAGCTTTTTCTCTTGTTCATCTGCAACGGTAATATTTCCAAGAACTGGGGAATAACGTCTCCACTAAGACCTCTACTTAGTGACAGAAAATCTCCCATCAGGTTTTCACTAAAAGGTGCTAAGCCTGAAGGTGGCAGTTCTAAATTTTACATGATGTTGTACGGAAATTTTTTGCTTTGTATATAAACATTTTGAAATTTGAGTTTGAAAAAACCTTCAAGTAGTCCTAATTGCTTTTGTGTTTCAGTAACAACTATAAGAAACAGAGGAGAGATCCAAGATGTTGCTTGTCTGCATTCTGTTGCAAGCTTTTGGAAAGCCATTGGAATGTAACAGTATTCAAACTATTTGGTTCACACCCTTTGTTCCATGCTTTGAAGCAGTCTACCTAAGGATTAATAATAAACTAATGCTTGAATCAGAGCTAAGGAGAAAAAATATTTTAGTGGTAACAGGTGATGGATTTTCTGATGGATATTTATATATTTTTGAAGCATATAAATATCGTATATTTATATGACTATACGCTAATGTTTTAGACAGGAGTTTCAGAGTGTCTAATTGCAAAAAACTTTCTAATGATTTAATAGAAGTAAAATAGAGGTCTTGACTTAAATTAGGAGGACCTTAGTGGGATAGCAGTATAGATAAAATTTTGTTTCAGCTAGCTTTAAGCCTTAACCTTTGATTTTTAAGAAGCAGTCATAAATTGCAGATCTTGTTTCTGATTCTCCTATGGTCAGCAGGGAATGTCAAAATCTTTATTTTGCATGAGAAGGCTCTGAGAACTGTTTAGTGGTGCAGGTTTTGTGAGGGATGAGAGCCAAAAAGGAAATTGGGAAAGAATAATACAGTGGTGGATCTGAATCACCTTCCTTTCTCATATAGCTATGATACGCTTTTTTTTATTGTATGATGTTAACAAAAATACTTCTTCACCTGTCAATAGCTACATACTATTTATCAAAGGCTAGCTGTTATGGAAGTATTCCAAAGATGGAGTTGCTGACATTAGTTTGGAAATGGTAGCTGAGTAGATTTCTCATCGCCTTCTTTCTTTTCAGGGAGGGGTGGGAGTACAGGGCTTCTTATCGGAGATATAACTCCAGGCTGTTCTTTTTTCATCATCAGTTGTTGTTATTGCATATCATATCTAAAACACTAAATCAGAAATGCAGAAATTCAAAGTCTGTAGAATACTTGTGCCTGCTTTCTACATGTGTATTGTGTGTGTTGCTTAACTTGAAATTGAGCAAGCTGCCCAGTCTGATTGTAAAGAAGTTGCCTTACGTGGAACTAAGCAAATTGCCCAACCCTATGCAAAGAATGAAAGTTGCCGAGGAGACAAGGAGGGGAAAAAAAACCCAGCAAACCAAAACCAGTTGTTGGCTGGTCATCCTAAAGGAGGGAACAGTTCAACCTGAACAAATAGCTTGGAGAAAGAACAAACCTGGAAAAAAAATTTTGCCTCAGTTGCCACAAATCAGACAACTGCTGTGCAACCTGTTCCCAAACAAATTTTAGCAAGTAACAGAAGCATTGTACATGTGCTAGTGAAGGCTTTTAAAACAATTGAATCTGCAAGTGACACTAAGTACTAGGTTAACATTGTAGAAAACCACACCTTTACCGAGTAAACATCTAAATTCAATTCAGTCTTATTTCAGGTATTTATTAACTTCGTCTGAAGAGGCTCTGAAAAGCCAAGATCATCTGTAGGGCATTCTTTTAGTGTTAAAGGAATTGCTATTATAGATAGTTTAACTTGTTCCCATCATGGACTATTCTAAAGATCTGGATGTCTAGTATCTTGGGTTGTCTAACATCTTAGTAATGTTGACACCATGGTGTTAAACTTAAAACTGGCTTTGGAATTTCTGTTTCAGATTGTAGATTTAAAAAGTCTGCAGTAACTTTCTGCTTGCTTTGTGTCCCAACTCCGCTGAGCTTTAGAAATAGGCTTTTTAATTTTTAACTCACTGTTGTAGAAGCCTGGAAATTACTTTAGTGAACCCCAGAATGAACAAACTGTTGCTATTTAGGCAGTCCTGTAAAGAAGGAAGAGTGATCAGGTGTAAAGTCTCGCTGACCACTTTCCAGATGCAGAGAAACTGAGTATACTTTCCACATTTAAATGGAAAGAGACAACAGGAGTAGAGATAAGCAGAAGAGAAGGAAAGATACTACAGCAGAGGTCTGTAGTGTTATGAATGATGTAGAGGTCATCAGTGAAGGCTGTGTCCAGATTATTTCTAGCCATAAAGGAATTAAGGGGAATACAGTGAACTGTGAATCAAATATTTTTTTTCTTTTTAATTGCTATTTACTGAGTCAGATAACCAAAGAATATTAGAGACCAAAAATTTAAATCGGTAGAAGGCAGATTTAGACAAATTTTTGAAGAATAGGTTTATTTGTGGATTTTTGAATACTAAGATGCAATTTACATCTCAAAGGCCCTAAACTGCTGATTGCTATGTGCTTCCAATGTAACTTGTTTTGTGTATTTTTATTTTTTTTCGAACACTGATTCTGGCAACAGAGTAGCTCAGTGTAATGAGGTCTGTTCCTGTGAGGAATCATTGACATGCTAATTTGTGTGTCTTCTTTTTTCTCTTCAGTCTCTCACAGTCAAATCACCCGCTTGTACAGTCGCTTCACCAGCCTAGACAAAGGAGAAAATGGCACTCTTAGGTGAGTATCATCACTACCTCGGCTGTCCTTGCATTGACACGTATCTGTAATGGTGGCTTGCTGTTGCTGGATGCCTGCATGTTTTCGTCATTTGATGAATCAGTGAGGCTGTTATAACAGGTTCTTTCGTACCTAACATCTACATGGACATTCAAGTTTGTTCTCTTTTATGAAAGGCCAGGAGAAATCTGATTGTTAAACTGAGTCAAGGTGTTCTAGATACCAATTGTCTTTACTGTAGTGCTGAAGGTTTGCAGTAGTTAAGAAAGGTCAAATTTGATATTCAAGGTCTTACCACAAATGTTCAGAAATGTTAAGCCACGTTTTTAGATTGTTATTTCTTACCTTTCTTTATACAGTGCTTCTAGTTATTACAAGAATGGTTCCAGTATGTCTTCTCCATCCTAACTTTCATAGCAAAAAGATAACTTATATTTTTGGGAGCATGGGCTGTTAATTGTTTCTGATACCCAGTGTCTTTTAACATGAACACCCGTGTCTATTAGTATGCTCAAAAATAAAACGAAAGAGCTAGAACCAAGTCACTGTGACTAAACAAATACACATTTTATTCTTTAAAGTAGTAATGCAAAGTCTTCCAAGACTTTTAAAGTGGTTTTGTCTACAGTTTAAAAACTACAGAAGTGAAAACTGGTTTCTTACAGCTTAATCAGTTAAAAAAAGATAAGGTTTAAACTTTGTCTGCAAAACATTTTTCACTTTGATGGACTGAGTCCACTGGAAAGAGTTTTCTCAACTGAAAGGTAAACGCTAGTGGGATGATTGCCAGTTAAAAATATGTGTCTGCCTGCTGTCTTTGTTCTCTAGCCTTCCCACTCTGGTTATTTTATTTTGTGTTGGTATTGGTTTGCTCTTTGTTTACTGAACTAATTATGAATTCTGATTGTATTAAATTGCTTATTATTTTTCTCTTTTGATGCTGTCTACGGATTACATTAAGATTATGGAAACATGACAAATAAGAGCAGTCCACTTGTTGCACCAGGGCTGCGCTTTTGCGACCAGCATAGTTGGTCTAACACAACACTGCCACTGAAAGTCCGTTGCTTTTCTGTGTTGATGCTGGTACTCGAGGCTCATCTTTGAAAAACTTGCCAAGCAAAACAATGAAAAAGGAATCTGATCAGTGTTCGGGTGGATTTTGTTTCCCATTCACCACATAGCTGCATATGCCAGAACCAGGGCACAGGGAAGCTGGAGAAAATGACGGAGAGAGTAGGAAGGGGAAAGAGACCTTGTAGCATAGTATACGGGATCTGGCTAGTAGGGAGTTAATTTCTTTCATAGCAACTCTATCCCAGTCAAACCCGGTAAATGTGGATTCAGGGATCACCTGGGGTTTTGTATGTGATCTTGCAAAATGGGATTGTAGGATGTGCTATAAACCTATAAAAGCTAGACCTACCTGTAAACCAACCTAACTGTAAAGCTAGATTCACTGCTTAGAAGGAGAAGGTGACGAGCTGTAAGATACACTGTCTTTGGCAGTTCTCCTAGCTTACTGCAATTTTCTTTCCTGAGGGAAATACACAGTTCCTTCTGGTGCCACAAATTTCTGACTTCTCAGTTAACATTTAAGTAATTGGTTATGGAGTTGTACTGTAAACAGGACTACGGAGTGATTATTTTTGGTTAAAATACTCTTCCTCCCTTTCTGGCTTCTGTAGGTATTTTTAAGCTGACTGACTCCAGTGATTTGCACTGTGGCTGTACCGTAAATATCTGGACTTGCATAGCTGAAGGGATGACAAAATGGATTGTGGGTGTGGAAACAATTGACTTGGGATGGGCAGGAACTTCTTAAGCTCATTCTGTCACCAAAGCCAATGTATCGTATAAACTGTAGCGTTGGCTAATTAGCAATTGTGACATACAGATCAGCTGACAATATTGTAGGTAAGGTTAATACTACTTATGTCTCAAAATTAAGTTACTTGAAAAGGAACACTAACAGTCCATAAAGTTTGTATAAACTTCGAAGTGATTGTTCTCGGTTTACGTAAGAGGAGTAATTAAATATTCTATGAATGTCTGTTGCACAATGCTTAGTTTCATAGTGTTATGTATCAGGAGGAGTTTGACTTTCATCGTCGATAATCATGTTGTACTTGGGAAAGGAAATGAAGTTTGGAAAATCCCAGCACGTGTGTAAACTGTGATCCCTTGACTTGCAGTCTTGGCCTCTAAGCATAGCTTCCTACCAAATGTGGCTGACTTAGTGGCATTCAAATTTTGAAACCTGTCCTGGCACCCACAATATGTGGAAATTATTAAGTATAAGTGATGGAAAACTACTTCCTGAAAAAAAAAAAAGAGGAGAGGGTAAGAACTACAGCTCAGAAGGTCATAAATATTGGTTTCTGAAATACTGATCAAAGAGACCTTGCTACTTTGAGACAAGCAACACGAAGTTATCGCTTCCTTACTACTGCCAAACAGTTTAGAAGGCATGTCTTCTGTTTGCTTCCTGTGAGCAAGAACAATTGTTTCAATAAGGATGACTTACACCTTTGACTTACATATCAGACATGACAGAAATCACTCATGACTATGATCAGGAAAAGAAGTGTTAGGCGGTTCTTTATGGCATGAAATAAATCTTTAAATTTGTACCAGCCTTCTGAAGAAGGGGGAAAGCTGTGCTGTCCTTCTTATCTATGTATTAAAATGGGCAAGGTAGAGAACACTTTGTACAGAAGATCTGGTAGATGATGATTAATCCTGGTGGTTAGAAATGACAGATAGTTAATTCTGGAAGTATAATCAAAAGCTGAAATCTTTCCTAGCCAGATGTTTTTATCCAGTGTACCTATATGCAGTTTCAAGGCACTTTATTTTTACAGAGTTACATAAACGAGACTTAAGAGAAGGGTATTGATGGAGACAAAACTTCATATGCCTTGTTTTGGCTTCCCCCCCTTCCTTCTTATCTTCTAAATAACTACAGCCATGGTTACTGATTAACTCTTATGAATTCTTTAAAAGTGTAGCAAAATGTTATATTTTTCCTTAGCTTCACTTTTTCTAAACAAAATGAGCAAGCTCCTTCAGATTTGCACCATCTGCATGAAATCAGATTGTAAAAGCCAAAACAAAACTATTCCTTTGAAAATGTTTTTGTCACCTTTGATTTCAATATGACATGCTGAGTTGCCAAAACAAGGTTGATACCCTTGGTTGTCCATAGCTACATCTAAATTGTGAAATCTGAAACAACTTGTTCTGCCTACATCGTGACCATAGATCAGGAGGAAACCAGTGTGCATGTTTTCTTCTTTACATTCCGATTTCCAAAATGAGGAAATCAAAGCATATGACCAGGGTAAGCGTTTGCTTGCTTTAGTGAGTCTCCTTGTTGGGCTGGTGCTGAAGCGTACACCACATGAGAATACATCTGCTCCAAAATTTACCAACTATTAAGTAGCTCTAGACAAACATGTATAGAGCTATAAAAAGGAGATAGATAGATACTTCTCAAAACTGCTACTTTTCATGTAACTTTTGCATGGAGCCTGTCACTTATGGTAGTTTTTTCTGTACTGGGGAAATGACAGGTGAAGCACTTCAGAAGTATATTTTACTGTACAGCAATTGGTATAGTTGGTGAGTGCGGAAGAAGAAGGGCGAGTATTCTGAAAGCTGGTACATGAAGAGAATAGACACACTGAGCTATTTATGCATATCTCATACTTATGAAAGCTGTTCACAAGCTGTGTCTCCTGGAGAACTTCAGAAAGCCTCTGGTCCTGAGAGAAGGGTAACAAGAGCTAGCCAGGCCATCTGTTAGTCTTTGTCAGTGATTTGAATCATCTTAGTGTGGAAAGGTGTTGGGGTTGTTCTTGTTAGTTCGAACTGATATGGCAAGATTTCAAAGTAAAACATAAAAACTGGATCTCTGAATGGGGAATTCCTTACCTTTGCTTAAGAAAAGGCAAAGGATTTTTAGCTTTATCTGAAACAGACAAGACAGGCAGGATATGGGTTTGGATTGGAAAATGATAAGAGTGCTAGAATAGTCTATACTTCCTTCCTCAACCATGCTTTATTCAAACTGCCTTTCTTCCCCTTTCCCAGTGCTCATCTAAGTATCACCTTTACTTCTAGCATACTTCTTGGCCTAATATTTATAAACCAATTACTCCTCTGATAGTTAAGCAACTTTTTAAATTTGTGTAGATCATGTGTAAGGATGGAGTTAGATGAGATGGCTAACACGGCTCTGAAAGAGGAGAATGTCCATCCTCTT